AGCTACTTCAACATGTACATATGTAGCTGGGATTATTTATGAGTTGTATTTGTCGCGTAAACATCCGAGTTTTACAGAACTTTCAGTTTAAACACAATAAATAAATTGAACGAAGAACTATTGTGATAATGTATTCAATTAAAAAACATACTACTCTGGAAAATCTACGAAAATACCAACACTGAATCCGCTATTCGTATTCAGTGATAGGATTTTCGTAGATTCCATGAAAGTTCGACTTCTTCGGATTCAGTGATAGCCCTGGGGGCTACTCTGTTATGCGATGCGAAAGAGAAATGCGATATGATAGGCAATCGGCACAGCGTATTACTTACGATGTATTTGCCTATCGCAACGTATTGCTCTTTCGTATCGCATTACAGAATAGGCCCCCTGAGTATCAGGCAGGTTCTGCAAATCATTTCCGAGTGAATTTCAATCTAATTTGCTTTGAATTCAAATTGGTAGTAAGTTGCAGAACCTGCCTGTATATTTAAAGTATGTAATTAAATACAGCAAAAAATTCAATAAGATCTATGTCCAGGCTCGTGGTAGAATTTTTTGGCCTTACGGGGAAATGGATTTTTTTCTTTGAGTCCATGTTTAGTGCAAATATCAATTTAGGCACACGCATATCCCAGCCCTTCACCATCATGGAATTTTTCGCAAAGTTTGGTGGATTATTTTGGTTCGAACTTCGAGACGAATATCATTTTTATCTCCTTTAGCTGAAATTTACTTTTTTTTTGCAAGATCTCCAATTTTATAAATATCGTATGTTCTTTGAATACCCTTTATAAAAAAGTTCCCTACAGTTGCGAGTCTCGAATCATATGCGCGGATATAACAACTCTGTTATGTCATCGGCTTAGCTGTCAAAAAATTTGCATTTCGCTTTGTGGTTGAACTTGCCAAGTTTTTCGTGATTTTTCCTTTAATATTGCTCAAAATATTCATAAAAAGGCGACTATTTCTGCAGACACAAAAAANACGGGACGAGCATGTTCCCCACGCGCATTCGATGCAGTCTGCAGCTGGTGTTACATCCTCTAGTTCTTCCCGTACACTTTCATTGGCCGAAAAGCAAAAATATATTGAGGAATATGATTTCCCATACTGTGATGAATCGTCCAAATATGAAAAGGTAGCGAAAATTGGTCAGGGCACATTTGGGTAAGTGCAGTACGCTCTATTTTCAATATTGTTGCTGGTTTTCGGAATTCCCAAAAATGTCGGACTCACTTTCAGGGAAGTATTCAAGGCGCGCGAGAAGAAAAGTAATAAAAAATTCGTAGCTATGAAGAAGGTGCTAATGGACAACGAAAAAGAAGGCGTAAGCAAACCTCAATTCCAAATTTGTTAACATCGTCTTTCACATATATTTTCTAATTTGTAGTTTCCTATTACTGCGTTGCGTGAAATTCGAATACTGCAGCTCTTAAAACATGAAAATGTCGTAAATCTCATCGAGATATGTCGAACTAAAGATTAAAACATGAAAATGTCGTAAATCTCATCGAGATATGTCGAACTAAAGCCACTGCAAGCAATGGCCATCGTTCAACATTTTATTTGGTCTTTGACTTTTGTGAACATGATTTGGCTGGGTTGTTGTCGAATATAAATGTAAAATTTAGCCTTGGTGAAATCAAGAAGGTTATGCAGCAACTGCTAAATGGGCTATATTACATACATAGCAACAAGGTATTTATTAGAAAAATAAAAAAAAATGTGTTTTTATAATCCTCCAAACGGCCTTCCTAGATTCTGCATCGTGACATGAAAGCTGCAAATGTGCTTATTACCAAGCATGGTGTGCTAAAACTTGCAGATTTTGGTTTAGCGCGTGCATTTAGTATACCAAAGAACGATATCAAAAATCGTTATACGAATAGGGTCGTTACCTTGTGGTACCGACCACCTGAATTACTACTAGGGGACCGAAATTATGGTCCACCTGTAGACATGTGGGGTGCGGGATGTATTATGGCTGAGATGTGGACGCGATCACCCATTATGCAGGGCAATACAGAGCAGCAGCAACTTACGTTTATCTCTCAGTTATGTGGATCGTTCACTCCCGATGTGTGGCCCGGTGTGGAAGAACTAGAGTTGTATAAGTCTGCAGAGTTACCGAAAAATCAGAAACGTCGAGTGAAGGAGCGTTTGCGTCCTTATGTAAAGGACCCTAATGGCTGTGATCTATTAGATAAGTTGTTAACACTTGATCCAAAGAAACGTATAGATGCAGACACGGCGTTAAATCATGATTTCTTTTGGACAGATCCTATGCCTAGTGATTTGAGTAAAATGCTCTCACAGCATTCTCAAAGTATGTTTGAGTATTTAGCTCAGCCGCGACGGAGTAATCAAATGCGCAATTACCATCAACAAATGGCGACAATGAATCAAAAACCACAGGATAATAGCTTAATAGACCGAGTTTGGTAGTTCCTACAATTGTTGCGATCTGCATCTATTCGTTGGTAGCCGAATTTAAGTAATGCATATTCGATTCCCATACATTGGCTGTCGTTCAACATTGCATTCGTATTTACCAATTTTTCAAACTTCATTGCAACTCACCATTTGTGTAAATGTTTAATTATAGGTTCGTATATTTAAATTTAAATGAAAACTAGGAAGTGTATTTGAATTTAAGGCTGAAGCCGCAGTGTTTGCGCAAATAAACTTCGTTTATATTTCTATACGATGGTCATTTCTGCTGTCGACNTTTGCGCAAATAAACTTCGTTTATATTTCTATACGATGGTCATTTCTGCTTTTAGCTGTCGATTTGAGAGGTATGCATTTGGTTAGGGAAATAACTCGAAATAACCCATTGAAGGATCCAACGACTTTTGATTCCGCATATTGAACTAGTTCAGTTACAACTTATATATTGATACATATTTAAAACTTTTATGCTTTTCTTTTATTTTTAAAGATGAACTTTTTTTTATTGTTTATTTCTTGCTATCTAACTTTACTTCACGTTTTGATTTTAGCGCCTCTAGTTCCCTTTTAAAATCCTTTATTTGCTCCTCCGTTACAGAGACTGGTATTTCTAAATCAATTTGTTCTTTTCGCACAAATTCCATTTTCTTGATGGCCTCCTCCAAAAATGGAATTTTTTGTTCGTCCAACATATTGCGATATTCAGCCAAACGTTCTTCTTTAATTTTTTCACAATGTGCGTCTGTGAGCTTTTGCAGCGATTCTTTTCTTGTAATCCAATGGAATTCGGCTGGAGGAGGTTTGTACACTAAATCGAGCTTCTCCAACATCCATTCGAATCGCCGATAGTCCCAACGACGCAAATATTTCAAAAACTTTTTTCTCTTATCAATAAGTTCCTTCAGAGCGACTTTCAATTTGGTATTGCGGGGATATTGCTCAAGTTCATCTTGCATAATGCGGATTCTTACAGTCATTCGTGCCACTGTAAACAATCAATTCAGTAAGATAACAAACAACAAGTGTATAAATACTCTTACGTTTTGCTTCCATGGAACCATAATCAAGCGGATGACGTTGAACCTCTTTGATCAACTGCTCTCGTAAATAACGCGCAGTATCCGCGCAGCGGTTATTACCAAGTTGGAAAAGCGATTGTACTATTGGATCAGCGCTGTAAAATTTTCATAATGAAACTTCATTTGTTGTACATCTAAGACTTAACTTACCTTTGAAGTTCTCTGGAGTCCTTATAATCAAGTAAGAATTCTTTTTCGTTTACCGGGGGCAACTTGCCCAAATCTCCACTCTTCTCAGGCTTGGTACATGGTATTTTTTCTGGACGTACCCACTTAATTTTTAAGTCCGACTTGAAGGCATACTCACGCGACAACTGCCATTGCATCCCTTTACAGGCGCGCAAGATTTTCGCAAAGTTCATCCTAGTTTTTTGTGTGAGAATCAAGGAATTCCACCCAAAGATGTGACTTATAAAATGTCAATTTATAGCAAAAGGTTATGTCAGAGAACGTTAACG